CTAAGCCATGGGGCCGGCCCTAAAACTCACTAATTTAAAAAATGCGAATTAAGAGGGGCCGGCCCCGTGGTGTAGTGGTTTAAGTTTGGCGTGTTCTGCTTCGGGTGCGGACCTACGCCACTCATCAGCCATGTTGTGGCAGCGACCCACATATAAAGTGGAGGAAGATTGGCACAGATGTTAGTCCAGGGCTAATCTTCCTCAGCAAAAATTAAATAAATAAATAAAATAAAAATTAAAAATGCAAATTAAAATGAAGAACCAACTTTTTTAAAAAATTAGAACAAACCTAGTCTGTGGAGGGTGCAGTGGAAATGGTCTCTTTGCACCTGGTCATGGCCCTGGGTATCAGTACAGCCTTTCCTGAGAGGACTGTAGTGTTTCCAGGCTATAAATCACAGAGCCCCTTGGACCAGGGACCCTTTCTCTGGAAATCTGACTTCTGGTAATAATATAGGATGTGGAGAGGCCATGGACATAAAGATGTTTGCTGCAGCATTATTTCTTAAAAGCAGGAAAAAACTTCAAGCCATCATAATAACCCCAGAGTGCAGGAGTTTATGGAGTACAGACTCTGCTCAGTGGAATATTGTGTACGTTAAAAGTAAATATTAAAAGCTAACAAAGGGGCCGGCCCTGTGGCTTAGCGGTTAAGTGCGTGCGCTCTGATGCAGGCGGCCCGGGATCGGATCCCGGGCTCGCACAGACGCACTGCTTCTCTGGCCATGCTGAGGCCGCGTCCCACATACAGCAACTAGAAGAATGTGCAACTATGACTTACAACTATCGCCTGGGGCTTTAGGGGAAAAAAAATAAATAAATAAAATAAAAGCTAACAAAGTGAACGATCCATGTGCCGTCACAAGATGAACGAGTTGAAGGCTGCTCTCACTTTGATGCTGGGTGTTTGGGTTAACCCTGCTGGGTAGAGGTGTCCTCAACTCCCATCCTTTCCCCAGCGTTGCTGGTGGAGGCCACCTGTGTCGGATAAGAGATTAGTTTCCTGTCTAGGGCATGTGATTCAGGCTCTTCCAGCAATAACATTGCCCCCCAACTGTGCAGAAATGCATACAGATGGAAGAGGCTGAAAAGAAATACACAGAAATGACGTTTACATCATAGAAGTGATATTTTGTACTTAAACTTCCCTTTTTCTAAACTTTCTGTAATATGGTATTACTTTTATTTTATTTATTTATTTATATTTTTTGCTGAGGAAGATTGGCCCTGGGCTAACATCTGTGCCCATCTTCCTCTACTTTATATGTGGGGTGCCCACCACAGCATGGCTTGATGAGCAGTGCCTAGGTCTGCACCCGGGATCTGAACCTATGAACCCCGGGGCCGCCAAAGCAAAGCACGTGAACTTAACCGCTACGCCACCGGGCTGGCCCCTGTAATATGGTATTACTTTAATAATAGAATAGCTGAACTGATAGACTAGATTATTTTCAATATTTTGTGCCAAGTTGTAAAGAAACATTTGTAAATGAAAAGCTGTTCGTGTATCAGGCTGTTACCAGTGTCAGCGATATTAATTTTGTGTTTATTTCCACCTCTAGGTACTCCACCTTGAAAAGCAAGAGAGGTCTCCAGACCACCAACACTCAGCTCAAGTAAAGCGACCCTCTGTTTCCAAAGAAGGGAGAAAAGTATCTGTTAGATCTCAGATGTCAGTGTCACCAGGCGCTGGCAACAGCAGCACAGCCCCGTCCACACCAGTAATTGGGGGTGGTGATAAGCCCACCATGGAGGAGAGACCCCAGCCTTCGGAAGCCAGCCCTCTGGGGCCACGAGACCTAGGCAGAAGCTCCTCCAGCCTCCAAGCCGGCCCTGCCTGCTCCCCCAGCCATATTTCTGTCAAGGAGCCCACCCCAAGCATAGCCTCGGACATATCACTGCCCATCGCCACACAGGAACTTCGGCAGAGGCTGCGGCAGCTTGAAAAGTAACTAGACACTCACTTTGCTCTTGTTGAATCAGAGTGCGCATCTCCTGTGCTGCAGGGAGGGCACACTGTCTGAAGTTAGCTGAAAGAGCTTCAGGGGACATTGCCCTGTCACTCACTGAGTCTGACTTTCAAAGTAAAGCCTGCCATTTTCTAGAGCCTAATATCTGGCTCATTTAAAGGCTGGAGAACAATGGGGTGACAGGTTCCACGGGTGGGAGAGGCTCTGCAGCTCCTGTGTGCCAGTCCTCAGACCAGGAAGGCAGAGACTAGAACTGACTGTTGAATCTGCATATAGTGATTGGCGTCTGTCTGGTGTATAAGAATAGGTCCTATTCTTTCATGTTTGGTCAACGCCCCATTATTACTACCAAGTCACTTTTGTGTGTCTTTGGATGTTTGTGTCGATTTCTTATTTAAGCCCCATGATTTATAGATGTGTTTATGATTTCTTTAGATAAGGAGGAAAAAACAGTCTGCAGCTATCACAAGCTTCAGACGTTAACCTTTTTCCCTCAGCAAGAGGGATCAAGTTGCCCTTTGAAGCAGTTTTCCTTATTTGTTGTTCTGAGAGGTATGTTGAGTAATAAGTGGAGGCGGAGGTGCAGCGTGTTCTCCTGGTGGTTGGAGGGACCCAACTCTGCACTTTTCTCCTTTGTAGTTTCTCATATCCGCTGTTTTGGAAAAAAGTCAGTCCCTTCCTCCCTCTTGCTCTGGAAGGAAATAGAATTTTAAACCAGAAATCACTTTTTCTCAGGAGCTAAATGTGGGGAGTAGCCAGGATGATCATGGGGAGCACTAAGCCAGAGCAGCCATTGGTTGTCTTGGGAGTCCGTGCTTCAACCTTGAGAAAGAGAAGTAGAAGAGAGGACTGTTGGCAGTCTCAGCAGATGACTGTCAGTGAGAAGTAAAGCAGGCGCCTTCTGTGGGGCTTTGAGAAAGGATACGCAGATTTGCGTCGTTATAGGCTAGATGTGACTTCGCAAAGACCACAGAATTGATGTTTATAATTAGGAGACCTTTGTGTCTCATTTTTACTTGGGGCCTAACTGCAGAAGCTTTCAGTTTTTTACAATTATGTTTTATTAACCCTCAACTAAAATATGAATTGACTGGTTAATTTATACTCAGAAATTCAAATTACGTTCAAGTTCCTGGGTGATTTGATTCCATCTTATCTAAATGAACATGATCTTACCGAGTAGTTGTCTCAGTGACTCACGCCCCCCAATGAGGTCTGAGGAAAGCTGTAACTGCCTGCTTTGTTTCCCCAGTGGTACGACACTGGGACAGTCTCCCCTGGGGCAGATCCAGCTGACCATCCGGCACAGCTCGCAGAGAAACAAGCTTGTGGTGGTCGTGCACTCCTGCAGGTGAGCTGGCGCCCGGGGCCTCGGTGTAGACGTGGGATAGGGCAGAGATGCACTTAGTTGTAGCTTCCCCAAACAGATCAGTTTGTTCCATTTTTGAAGAACAAAGCAATTAGAGTGTACTGTAGTTAGACTGTCATCGTAGTATTTAGTTCTTATTCTTTTTTTGTTCTTAACATTGTTTCATAAACATTTTCTACTCATAACCATTTTGATTGCTTTGTAACACTCCCTTGAACTGCCATACTGTAGTTTATATAACATTCCTGATTGTTGGATGTTTTACATGTCTGTGTTACATGTAACACAATAATGAACATATTTTCTTTTCTTGAAGTGTCTTCTTGGGATTAAATTTCCAGGAGTAGGTTTATATAAATTCAAAGGATCCAAAAAAGTGTATGGGATCATGGTAGATATTGCCAGTCTGTCAAGAAAGAGCCTACATCGGCACCCAAGGATACCAGTGTGCCTTTTCCCCCACGATCAGGAACGATTTATTTTAACTTATGCAGCACACTACTTTAGTAAGTGTCACATGAGGTGGCAGTGTTGTTTTAACTCGTATTTGATTAATGATGATGGGATGAAGCTGACTATTTTCCTTTTATATGACTTGTCAGTTTCAGTAGTAGTTGTGATATAAATATTTGGATATAATAAAAAGCTATTGGAAATATAGGAAGATAAAATTAGTGATATTTAGAAATGTGATTATATAAATGTAGAGTTCAGTTCAATACATATATGTTCGTGCTACTGAGATAATTCCTATAGGAGATGCGGGAACAGAAGACTGTTTTAGAGGACTCCAACTAAACAGTCTCCTAACTCGATTTTCAGGTTGATCAATAAGGGAATAATTTGAAGTGGTTGCACATAGTTAAATCCTATATTGTGTTTGGCTCAAACCAGTCATCCTGGGCAAAGAGCAGTGTGCACATGAAGGAGGTGGGTCCTCGTCTGTGAAGGGTTTAGGTGGACAAAGGGCAGAGAATGGGGTCAGCAGCCTGAGCAGGCACCAGAGAGGGCCGAGTGCCGCTCGGGAGTCCTGTGGACAGTGGCTGCGTGGCCTCACTGGGGTCTCCCAGGAGGCTACTTTATTTGGCTGAAAGGCTGACCATGTTCCCTCACTGGGAGAAGAGAGTAGAAATACTGTGGAAAGATGACGCAGTAGTTTCTGTGTTGGAAGCAGAGCAAGGTGTCAGAAAATTCCCCAAACTCTGGGCTCAAAAAATGGAGGCAAAAGTCACCTTAGGCAAAGCTGCTGAAGTTTTGAAAGATGCCAGCAGGCGAGCGTGGGGTGAAGACAGAAATGTGCTTTACTCCTTTGTGCTTCTCAGAGTTTAGATAAATATGAAATCAAAATAGTAAATTCAAATGTGACGTCGTTTTCCGAGATTCTAATATCTAGTGTTCTCTGGTTTGTGTCATAAGAAATCTCATTGCCTTCTCTGAAGATGGCTCTGACCCCTATGTCCGCATGTATTTGTTACCAGACAAGAGGAGGTCAGGAAGGAGAAAAACACACGTGTCAAAGAAAACATTGAACCCGGTGTTTGATCAAAGGTATGGTGTATACTCAACTCGGGGTAGACTGTTTGGGTTAACAAATTAAGGAAGGCCTGATCAGTACCTTTAATGACTAAAGCACTTAAGCTAACACACTGCTGAGAAGTGTAAGTGAAAAAACTCCTCCATATTAGTAGATGTGGACTTGTTAAATAAGTATTTTGAACTTCATGTAGAAGTGCTAAACATCATAAATCCAAGTTGTAAACACTGTGGACGGGGAGACTAGTGATTAAATAAAGAGCAAATGATGGATGACCCGAAAGAACGTTCATTCTGGAGGGCTCTGTCTATTGATTTTTACTGAGTTATAAATTAAAACTAAGAATTTTAAAATACATGTATTTTAAAACTTATTTTAAAATAATAATAAACCTATGATGTTTTAAAATATAATAGTCCTGTGAAAAACAACTGGTTTCCAAAACAAAATAATTAGTGAAGAGTGGCATTATTGTTTTAATTTTTGCAAATCTCCATAGTGGTCTGGCTTAATAGAGGCTTATATCTGCTCTGTAGTCAGTCTGATGTGGTGACCTCCTGGGAGGGTCTCGGGGACCCTGGGGTTCTTCAGGCCAACTTACAGAGCCTCGATCTGTGCACATTTGGTGTCTTACATTATAGTCCTCTGTAGCTAAAAAAACCACCACCATTTGGGAAATGATAAAGTTGAATGATATCAATATCTCTTAATTAGGTTTACATTTCATCTTTTAAGATACTACTCATTTATTGTGTTTTCGCACCACTAACTTTATTTAAACCAAGGTCAGAAACTGACAGGCATGCACTAAATCCAGGCATGGGCATGTTTTATTTGATGACGTGTTCTTAGCTGCAGCACTTAAGAGTTTGGAGCTCGACATACAAATTTGGGTTTCTCACTGCTGTAGCTCCATGGGAAGGCCAGCCACATTCCAGCTGTGTCCCCATGAGGCCTCAGGCCCTCAGTCCTCTGGTTTGCCGGAGATGCCGGCGCACTCTAGCCACACACCAGCCAGCTTCTAGGACTTGGTTCCCCGGAGGCATTTTAGTTGGTGGCATGTGACTTAGGGCATTGAAAAGTATGTTGCAGACCTTTTCCCTTCCGTGAAGCTATATTACATGATACTTGTTTTTAGTGCACTCACCCAGGCTTTGAAATTACTCTCCTTTAGTCCTTAGGCCTGCATGAGTGAAGTGGCATGTCATACATTACATCCACAGTCCACACTTTAACTACCATAAAGAGTCAGGTGTTTATGTTCAAAAGAATGCCCCTCCCACATGTGAGGGAAGGCAGTAGGGCCTTCCACTTAGGATGCCAGGACCTTGTCTTATGTTTGGAAACTAATGAAAACAACTTGGTTTTTGAGTCTTCATGAAATGCCAGATCCAAACGTCTAACAGAACTCAATTTTACAATAAATAACAAACATGACATTTGGAATGGCCTCATAAGCAGAAATGCCATTTTTTAGTTAAAATAAAATACAGCAAAATTATGGAGAAATTTAAGGAAGGTCCTCTTTTTCCATTTCAGTTTTGATTTTAGCGTTTCACTACCAGAAGTGCAGAGGAGAACATTGGACGTAGCAGTGAAGAACAGTGGCGGCTTCCTGTCCAAAGACAAAGGGCTTCTTGGCAAAGTAAGTTTGAAAAACATTCTTCATCGTTTCCTACACTTTGTAAAAATTAAACACTTACCCAAAGTGCATTTTCTAGACCATACTTATATCAGTCGAAAGGGGTGAACTTACTCTATGATTAATGCTTATTTATAAAATAGTGGACCCTGAGAGAGACCACGTATCAACTAAGACATTGGTACATTTTGAAGATATTTTAAGTTCTTTTTATTGTTTTTACATATTTATATTATTGGCATGTTAGTCACACTAATATCATGAACTTATAGTTGAAGAAAAGGTTAATTTTTTAATTTTTTCAAGTATTACATTGAAAGAAAACACGAAGGAAGATATTCTCCTACAATTCTGTCTCCTCAATCAACTGTTCTTTTTCTAACAAATCATTGGCTTTATTTCTCTGAATTTCTTCTAGTCTTTATCCATATTCACATTTAACTCTTGCATTAGATTACATATACTTTAATTATTTGTATAGAGGTTAAGTTAGGGAAGAGGAGTTTTGAATCGTAGATGCCATTTACAGATAAGCCACATCCACTACTCTACCATTAATGGTACATGAGCCAGTATCCCTATAAATTATCTCCACTGATAGTTCCTAGCAACTTAATTCTAAGACTGTTCGATACAGGAAGGACCTCTTGGACATAATCAACCATGTAGTTCACAGGAGGAATATAAGGATAAGAAAAGATTGAAAAATGGGACTCAAAATAGAGGAGTGTTCTCTGTTGCCAGACAAAGACAGAAGAAGAGTGGAGAGATTGAAGAGTGGAGAGATTGAGGAAGTGGTGAAAAGTCTGAAAGGAATCCCTTCAACCCACGTTTACGGATGTTCTTAACCCACAGGTGTTGGTCGGTCTGGCGTCTGAAGAACTCGCCAAAGGCTGGACCCAGTGGTGAGTGTCCCTACCATAGACAGACGAACCATAAACAGAGAATCCGCAAAACTGTTTATTTGATGACACTGTCCACAATTGACCACATGTCTCTTGTCACCGTCCTGTGCTCTCTCAGGTACGACCTCACGGAAGACGGGACAAGACCACACGTGGTGACGTAGGCGGGTCTGGTGTGAGGAGCCCTCCTTGGTGTGTCTGCCCCACCCGTGTGCTCGGAATGCAGCCTCCCACAGACGTACTGATACTATTTTTATAATTTCATCTATTTAGTTAATAGTTTTATAAAACATGTTGACATTTTAGGCATATTTGGCCAATATTATCGTTAAATTTTGTATGTTTAATTTCCTCTAGTATTTCACCAGTTATTACAGTATACAATAGGATAGTACTTAATTATTGTGTTATGTAAAGCTGTATGTCAGTTGTATCTACTAGGAGGTGGATATATGTATATGCTTTATTATTGCCTTGTTTTGTATATTACTGAGGTACACTATGCCATGTAAATAGACTCTATTTTTTATAATCTACATGCTGGTTTGAATTCAGAAGAAAATGAATCAAGGAAATATATATTTTTTTTCTTCTAAAACTTATTAAATTCTTATGACAAATAATCATTTTTGCCTTTGCAGGAAAAAGTTCTAGTGACCTATTTTGTGGTATTTCTTTTTAAAAAGAAAAACTGAAAGATTATTAAATATTAGTGTATTTCTGCCCATTATGGATGATGAAAGAAAGTATTCAGAATATTAACACTTTCATAAACAGAAAGATGTATTATTGAGAAGTCAGTTGAAGTACTTATAAGGAAAAATGTATAACTGAGTAATTGAAAGTATTAAGAGAATTGTTGTGGTTCATAAATCATAGTGTACTAATCTGAAATTTCCTACATAAAATGAAATGTCTTAAGTTTATTTGTAATTGCTTGTTATAACTTATTCTGAAATAGTACACAGATACACAATCATACTTTTCCTAAAATATAATAGACAGACTTTCAATGTTAGCAGTTAGGCTATTGTGAAATAGTCGGTTGTGAGCTTTGTTAATTTTCAGTGTTTTCCCAGCCTGTAAAGAAAGACAAGCTCACATTGTCACCAAAAAGATCAGAGTAAGTAGATAGGAAATGTTGTTAAAACCAATACAGAGGACAGGTCACCCTGATAGCTCTTTCATTCGTCCATCAGTGCAACATCATACAGAGGACAGGTCACCCTGAGCTGGCACTTGGTTTCATTCTGCTCTTATTCACAGGCCACCACCGGGACCAAAGAGTTTCGGCACAACTGCCAGCACAGTGGCTCTTGGTTGTAAATAGCCATTTCCTGGGTTTCCTCCCTTATGCCATGACTCATCTCAGTATTGGGATGTTGTTATACGGTTTTTATTTTGGAATATATTTTTCTTTTTAGATTATTAAAAGCATGTTTTATTTACTTAAGAGTTCCAAACCTCTTGGAAGGTGAGGCTCTGTAGCAGTGTCATAAGCTGTGCATGCCTATAAACAACGTATGTACCTATGCAGAAAGAATTTTAAATATTTTAAGCTGTATGATGCAAATGACTTCCTTAGCCCTAAGAACATTCTAAAATTATGTATATATATATAGAGGAAGTATAGCTTTGTGATTGAAATTGGAGATCTTACCATAAATCATTTCATGGACTGTGGACTGCTCACGTGACCAGACCTACCAAAGTGCCTGTGGCGGATGCTGGTTGTTACTGCTGCACACTCCTGCCTTCCAGCAGATTTTAATTTTGTGTTAATTTACACTTTGAACCTCGGGTTTGTTTATAATGGCGTCTGTAGCTTCACAATACATTTTATGTACTCATAACGACCAGTATCATCTCACTGTTTCCTGTTTAATGAAATGTCACTCTAAAGCCTCATTGTAAATCATTTCCTATGTAACGTACAGGGAAGTTTATGAATATGCTGATACACACATGGATATATATGCACACAAAACATTTACTGTGGTGTTTTAGTAGCATGAGCAAGACAGGTTGCCTGTCCACAGTATTAGATTTACGGAGGTTTTTTTTTAAATCAGGTATGTTGAAGGGCTTTTGGCCCTTCGTTGAAATTTAGGATACTAAGAATTTTTACTGACGTCCTAAACTTTTGGGTTTTGCAACCAATGTGCTTTACAAACTATTCAATGTGTACTTTACTTGATGTAATCCTTTATTTAAACTAGGCAAAATAAGTACATTGAAAGCTACAAAGCCCAAATAAAGCCAGTTAGCAGCGTGATGCCCTGCCCTCTGGTGTGGTGACGGTGGGGGCTGGAGACTAAGACCCACCTGCAGATTCCGAGGCCCTCGCAGCCAGCTCCATTCTTTTTAATATAAAAGAAAGGAAAGGGATGATTCTAAGGACACTGAAACACCTCCCAGATGTGATTCTGTGTTTTGTGGCAAGAGGAGTGCTCAAAGGGATGCTCTTGTATCTGTGGGAAAGGCCAGGCTCAGCACTCCAGATCCTGGCAGTGGGGAACACTCTTGAGTTCTCAAAATGTGCTTTTCTGGTTCTTAATAATCGTTTCATCTAGAAAAAGGGAACTATAACTTTTCTACATTGAGCCAAACCAATGGAGGGAAAATTAACTTAAATGAATTTGAATTCTGTCAGTTTGTTCATGTTGGTTGCTTATCCTGTGCCTTAAAGTACAGAGGTATGAAGGTGTTGTTTTCAAGTTCCAGATTAAAACAAAAGAAGCCTCGTAGCTGTATTTACCACAGTTTATATTCTGTACTGTGAGAATTCCTTTTACAGATGTTCTTCATGAAGAGGTCGGCCCTTCTTGTTCAAGAACCTATGCCAAATGCAACTCCGTTTGTGCGTTTGTACTATGGTTGTTCCTTTAACCCCAGTCCCAGCTGCATCACCCCTGCAGATGGAAACAGCAGCGGGTGTTTTTATTATTACAGAATGTCCTTTTTGCTCAACTAATTTTACATGACAATGCATGTATTTATTCAATAAAACTTTTATGTTAGCTCACTTGTGATTTGTTTTTCCTTTGTCTTTTGAAATGAAATTTTTAGCATGGAACCAGATAATTTGAAAAGTAGATGTGTTCTTCTTTTTATATTTGCTATTTGTGAATTCTTTCATTTTCAAAAGAACTACATCAGATCATTGATATTACTTCTCTTATTTCCATCCTAATTTGATTCTCCTCTGCCTACTTTAGACTCTTGGTTTTAAAAACAGCTCTTCTGAAAGATAATCATGAGTAAAGAAAATAGTCTTTAAACATGTTTTAAAACCAGAGCCATGAGAAGTAATGAAATAGAGGCTGGTCTGAACAAATGGAGGGGAAATAGCAGAGGTATTCACTACTATCTAAACCCACTCCTGATGATTGACATTGACTGAGGTGGCTCCTGCTCTTGGCCCTCAGCATTCAACACAGTTGACCTCCTTTCTTGGCCTCTCCAACGCCTTGCTTTCTGGATTTTCCTTCTACATTGCTGGCCATTGATCAAGCTCTTTTACTGTCTTCTCTAGCTAGACTGCAAATATTGGAGTAACACAGGTTTTGATTCTGGTCCCTTTTTAAATTTTTACTCTGTATTCTGTTTAATACCATTGCTATTCCATGCTTTCCAAATTTATATCTCCAATACATACTTTGCTGCTGAGCTCAAGACCATTCATCCAGCTGCCTGCTCATTATCCCTCTGTACTTGGAGGTCTCGCCATGTTCCTGTCTGTCTAGGTGCTTGACCTGGAGACCTAGACCATCCTGACACCTTCCTCTGCCTCTCTGCCCATATGGAGATACCAATTCCTTTAGTTCTACTTGAGGATATATCTGCTTTGACTGCTATCTCTAGAGTCCAAGACTTTCCTGCCTAACCATCAGCTCCCTACATTCAAGCTGTAGCCCCTCTCTCCCCTGCTGCATTCTCCACACAACAGCCGAAGGAATCTTTTAAAACACAAATCTAACTCATCACTCTACTGCTTTCCATTGCTCTTAGAATAAAGACTGAGAGCATAACAAGGCTCTGAGGCCCTGAGAACTTCCCAGCTTATTTCCTCCTACTTTACCCCTCATCCATGATACTTCTCTCAGTTCCTCAGACTCCCCACCCTCTTTCCCATCTCAATGCCTCCAGCCTGCCCTTTCCCTGACAGTGGCCTAGCTAACTTCCACTCCCCTTCCGTCCTCACCATGAAGTTGATTTCCTCAGGCGTCCTTGACCAGCACTCGCCCATCGAGATGCAGTCTCCCTTTTATAAGCTCTCTTAGCACCCCATGTTACCTTCATTCATCATACTTAACATAATTGCAGTTTAGCTTTATTTAAAACCATTATCCCACCTGGATTGTAAACTCCCAAGGGCAGAGATTATGTGAATGTTATTTAAATCTTTTTCCAATGGCTTATCACTCTTCCTGGCACATAGTTGGTGAACAAATATTATTGAATAAATGATGTATAAAATTTGGCAGACCTTAAGTAACAATTTGTTTTAATGAGTTTCCATTTAAAGAAAGACGCTTATTGGTAGTTCTTAGTAAAGTCTGAAAAGTACTGATGAACATAAAGAATACTGTTGAGACAAAAAGCCAACAGTGTAATTATCTCAGAAACAATTGAAGTGTCAGAGTGAGAAATGACCAAGGAAGTCTGCCTTTATTTAGTGTTATTCTGGAAATCCTGGGCAATACAATATGAAAAGAAAAAGATTATAAATTTTATATTGAAAAAGAAAATGTTTCAAATACGAGATCATCTGCCTGAAAAAAACAAGAAAGTAATCTGAAGACTTATGTGTGTGTGTGTGTGTGTGTGTGTGTGTGTGTGTGAGGAAGATTAGCCCTGAGCTAACATCCATGCTAATCCTCCTCTTTTTGCTGAGGAAGACCGGCTCTGAGCTAACATCTATTGCCAATTCTCCTTTTTTTTCACCCAAAGCCCCAGTAGCTAGTTGTATGTCATAGTTGCACATCCTTCTAGCTGCTGAAGGGACACGGCCTCAGCATGGCCGGACAAGCGGTGCGTTGGTGCACGCCCAGGATCCCAGGCTGCCAGTAGCGGAGCATGCGCACTTAACGGCTAAGCCATGGGGCCGGCCCCTGAAGACTTTTAAATTGAACATGTGTTTAATAAGGTGCAAGTCATAAAAACAAGTCTCAGTGTCTTATACACTAATATTAATAGCTATTAGAAAATATAATGGGAAAAGTCATACAGCAGCCCTGAAACCACAATAGCACTGATGACCTGCAGCCAAGCAAGGGAGGGGCACAATAGGTTTAGAGCTCCTCAAAAGCCCCACCCCCAGAGAACCATCACGGTTCCACCTGTTTGGCTTCTGGGAAAGACATATTGCCAGGGTGTCGATCAAAAACAATTTGTGGCAATTGTTGAACATTGCAGCTGCCTGGGGCAATGATACCAGTTGGGACAAACAAGAGGCTAACCAAAGAATTTTAAAGGAAGATCTGGGAAATGAGATGTTCATAGGCGGCTTTGAAAAACTCTGGCATTCCTGGGGCTCTAGAAAGATAAGTGCATGTGCAGGGCTGTGTGCATGCCCAGGAGTGGCCTGTAAGAGTCCTAATATGTTTCCTCTGGTTGGTGTTGAGGTTCTGCGCAAGCACGAGGTGAAGGCTAAGGCAGAGTTGTCAGCCAACTGCCAGAATGTCGAAGACACCCTAACACACACATAGGCCCTCAGGAAAGACTGGGAGACTAATTCAAAGTATTTAAGGAAATTTCTATCCAATCATTAGCTGACCAAATCAGCTAACTGGGCAGAGACTTCAGAGGCAACACATGACAAAGAATAAAGCTTTTAGAGAATTAATCCAAGAAAGTTACTAAACAAAAAACAACAAAGTCAAGGGGGAGGGATCTTATTTACAGAGTTGCCACATTATATTATTTTAAATGGCTAGTTTTAAACAACAACAAAAAACATGAAATATGCAAAGAAACAGGAAAG